TATATATATATATATATATCGTGAGAACGCGGAGTGACACTCCTAAATTGGAGGACTATATCAAAGCATATACGCAATCGAGCAACGCCCACTTTGTAAAATTCTTGTTATTCCTGTTTGAGATCTTTCTTCAATATGAATGAATCGCCGCCATCTCGGACGAGTCCACATATACTGAACTCTCTCTTTCTCTTTCTCTTGTGCCGTTCAAATCTTTCATCTCGCTCGTGGTTGCTCATCAATGAAACACCTCCTACCTGTATATATGATTGCCGTATGAGGACGTAGGTGGCGGCGAGTTAACGTAGGATTTAGAGTGTTAAAAATTCCGGACAGATACTGTTACTCACTGGCGTAATATTATAGAAGGTAGATTGATACTTGAAAAGTAGATATTTTATTCCGACTTTCAATTTGTGTAAAATTGAATTAAAATATAAAAATTATGAGATTTATTAAAACATTATACAAATGAAAGAATATTCAGCATACATAAATAAAATCTGATTTCCATCATGTTAATTATTAATATGACAAATTCATTTTCAACAGATATTATTTCTCTCGCTGTCTGAAGAACCTCATAAAGCGAAAGCCGCCTTCATCAAGTTCTATGATAAATTTATAAGAGTACCCACTACCGATTACAACACACTTTACATGTACTATAAGAATCTATTAATGAAATATTATGGTGTTGATCGCAATATCGATGTCTCCTGTTTGGCCAAAATATCTATTGGGATTCCCCTGGATTTTATCCGGCAAGCCGTGGAGAAGGTGCTGTCGCTACGTCGAAGAATGACTCTTAAATCCAATCCATTAAATCCGATGGAAATTATGAATGAAATATTGATGTATCAACATCCTGCGAAGGAGATGGTGGAGAAGCTTGATACATTTGAAATCTCCCTTCGCAAAACAAAAAAAGCCGATGTTTCGTAAAAAAGAAAATTTGCGAAAAGATGAATTCATTATTATTTTTTTGGACATAAATATATGTATCGCAGAAATTTCGCTCTTGTACAAAAACTGTATTTATATTGAAAATATTTGTATTCTTTCACATTGCGTTTAACAGCTCATAAGGATATAAAATATAAAAAGTATGTCTATTTTATAGAAAGAAAATAAACATACTTAAATAAAAATATTCTGTAGGCACGCAGGAAAGACGGATGTATATTCTACGACGGAGATGGTGGACTATATTATAGTTAGAGAACGCTAAAGAGAGAGTATGTACCTCTAATATATAATATGTCAGTCTCCTCGAGCGTGTTGCCAACCCTTGCACCCTCCCACACCTGACCTCGGTCTTAAAGCGGAGGAGGAACCCAGTAGCACCCACGCCGGTCAAGTATTTGCGGCGAGTGCATCGTGCTATATTAATGAAGAATAATCTTCAAGGATCCTTGGATGTTTTCTGTCACCATATCCCTTCTTCAAGAGTCTGCGAGTTCTTCCTGCTTATGTCCTACTAACTGTTACGTTTGGCAGTATTTCGACTCTTCAGTATCTTATCCCTCGCGATATCGCCGCATAATTGTTGTACATCACAAGTCTTGCCGAGGAATCGCTTCTTATAGCACAAAGTTGACAATCTCAGCATTCAACGATGACGGTTGAAATGCGTTCACCAGGATATACACTGTCACACATATACATAATGCATAATTCGTCGGACGTTTTGTCGAATTATATGGGAAATTGGTACCGCATATTCGAAGGGAACTTGAGCGCGGTGACATGAACGCGCGAACAATAATAGTAAGTAGAATGATCGTACGATATGTGTGCTTCGAAGCACTATGCGTCAAGAGCATGCTCGGCAACCGCTTCGAGAGACGAGAAACCGTCGCGTCGCCTCCACCGTCCACACGGTGGGGACTCCCCCGGTCCATGTCGGTCCGTCCGTCTCTGTGTCTCTTGGTTTCCACATAGCATAGCCATGTATGGAACACAGGACGACGTTCTCTCTCCCGACTCTTACGCCCACTTGCCATAGTCGTGCTTTCCGTACTGACTCCACCGGAGCTGGAGCAGGTATCGTCACGATTGACGACAACGAAAAGAACGAGAATGACAACGTCGACGATATATCGTGTGAATCACTGGAAAAAAGAGGAGCGAATAGAAAAAGTAAATAGAGAATCCGACGTATTTTTTTTAATATAAACATTTTGAAAATCTTTGATCTTTGGAATATCAAAAACTCTACCCCACCATTCTAAGAACATTGAAAAACTAATTGATTTAGCAAATAAGGAGAAAATTAAGAAAATCTTAATCTTTTTAATTTGTCTAATAAGGAAATAACTTTGTGTAGGTCGTATTTTTTCCACTTCCATAAAGTGACAAGTCTTTCTCTTTAATTATTAATGCATGCACTGTATAAAAAGTAACATCAAATGATCTTTGCATGTGTTGTTTTCGTATGCATGAGAACTCGAGAGAAGATGAAGCAGAAGCCGGCGAAAAAGAGAAAAAAAAAGAGAGAGTAGGTGAGATAGTAGGGGATTCCGAAGGTCTTCAGGATCCTCACGAAATGCCTTTTGATACTGGAAATCTGTTTGCCATCGTCGTTACGAAATCACGTAAAACCGGGCCTCTACGCCCACGCTGCAACAAGAGACTGGCACAGTCGCGGTGAAAGAAAGTCCAACTTCTTTAACAAGCTCGAGATGTTTATAATACACCAGAAATCGAATATCGCATTTAAAAATTAGCGTAAAAATTTATTTATTGCGAAATTATTCTCGTAATTTTATAAGAATTTTCTTAATTGATTCTCTAATGAAAATGGCGAAAGGATGATCCTTACATAGCAATAGAAAAATAACTCGTGATAGCACAACCGACAGTGATTAAATTTCATTGCATAAAACGCCGGAAAAAAAACGATTCTCATATAAGAATTTAATCTAGTAGATATTTTAAAAAATTGATATTCAAGTCAGATCATCATCACATTTTATACACTATTATAAATTAGTATTACCTTATTTTTAATATTCTCATAAAAAAAAAACAAGTTTAATTTGATTAAGATAATAAAAAAAGTAAATGTAATTAATTTTAAAGAAATATTAATCGATACACGCACGCGCGAAAGATCGAAATGAAGATGATAACTATAATAAAGTCGTTTTGCAATAAATTAATTGAGATCCCACGATTATAAAGTCTATTAATATTTAATCGTGAACAGTGTTTTTCAAGATCGCAACGGAAAGTCGTATAATTCCATGAAAGATGATCGTTTCGTCGATATACTATCCATTGCTTGTGTACTTGCATAAAAAGTTGCGTTCTCTGAACCAGCTGCACTGAAAGTTGATTGACTTTTGTATTTTACAATTTAACTTGCTCACGATGCAATTACGCTATAGTAAAATACAAGAAGCATGAGAGTGCGTTACGTCGTTAAAGTTTATACAAAGAAGTTTTCATAAAAAATTCGATTGGTCAAGGAATTTTTAAGTCAAATTATGATATATATATATATATATATAAACATTTTTGTATAATTATATATTTTATTATTTTATTTTTATTTTTTATTATGTATTGTATAAAATAATTTATAAAAAAATATTTTGTATTTATTTATACATATAATAGTAATGAAGATAAAAAATTTATTATGTGATTTATCTGACATCGAGTACATTCCGAATGTGAATGATTGCACGATTATTCAAAATATTGATTAACAAATTTATTTATTTCATTTTTAACTTACTTCTATTATGAAAAAGATACTGATACTTTAGAAGATGAATCGGAAACCTTTTCATTTTCAATCATTATATTATTTCAAAGTCTCTTCCATTATATCGATATAATCCTTAACATCGTTCATATATCTCCGTAAAAATTTATGGTCTCTTTTTACATTTTTAATTAATTTTTTAATATCTGTTTCCCTGTAAAAAAAAAAACAGAAAAAAATAATATCGAATTTTCAAATAATTATTCACGCTATCTAAACTTACTTTATTCTACCTAGTATACAATAACAGTTGATATCATTTGGAGTGAGTTTATCAAATTGTTTAATTTTAATCGTAACTTCCAGTATAATGTCCAACCGTTTGCTTCGAGATGTAAATGAAATTCTGAAATAAATAAATTATCACAATTTCGTCAAATCGGTGTACATGTATGTATTGACTATATTTTAAATAATAATATTGTATGTAATGTAACAGTATGATATAATTTGATGTAAATTATTACTCGTCATTAGTAATCTCCATTAAATTTAAATCATCCAAACGCCTCAAATCAAACTTGAAATCCATCGCTAGTTTTACATCTTCTGAAATAAAATTTAACATTGGAAGGATGTCCTGATGAGTTCTATACGAATTTATAAGTAATTCAGCGTTTACTTTCTCCAGAATTAATTTGTGAACTATCTTTGAGAATACTCCTGAATCATCTATCAAAAAAAGAAATAAATTAAAATATAACTTTATTTTTTAACTGATATTTGTATAATTACCTGCCAGGCGGGAAATAATCTTGATTTTTTTAATCAAATTTTTCTCGGAGTCATTAAAATCATATGATAAAAATGTCGCTATCAATAATGAATTTGCTATGAAACCAAAAACGATCATTTTTCTGTTAATATCATTATAATATATGTTCCAAATAATATCGTCCCTACAACAAAATAACATTAGGTCTCTTTAATTCCTTTTCAATAGTAAAATATACTAAAAATGTATATGTACCCTGCGGCATATGTTTCTAATTTTTGCAATAATGTTACAAACGGATCTTCGTTTTTAACGTCTTCATTAATCATGCTAACATTATGTGTTGTTATGAGTCCTTCTGTTGCACATTTGTCTTTCTGTCTCATATTTTGTTTCATTTCATCATTTAAATTTATTCTATGTTTTTCGGGATTTATTTGATCTTCAATTACTATTCCTGTACTTTCGAGATGATCACTACGTTTTTTTGTTTCCTGTAACAATATAAGATCTTAATCATTTCACATGATTAATTATCAAAGAAATTGAAGTAGCTAATCAAGTAGATTAAAATGAAAAAGAATATATTCGAAAGAAAAAAGAAACTAAAGGAAGACACAAAGTTGCAGAATAATATTAAAGAGCAAGGACAATATTCCAGATTTTACCAGCTACTTCAATTTCTTTGATAATTAATGATGTGGAATGATTAAGATCTTGTACTATTACAATTTTCTCATCCTTAGCATTCATTGATAGTACGCTTTTCTCATTAATATCCTTTGTCGTATGATAATTTGATTTATTAAGTTGATTGTCATTAATAATTGTCTTTATTATCACTTGGCAATCAATTTCCTGATTATCTTCAGCTTCATTCATTATAGTATTTTCGTGGCGATCTTCTATTCGATTGTTCTCAGTATTTATTGATTCCTCTTTTTCTCTTAAAATTGTGAAATAATCGTTTGCGGCATTTTCCTTCGAATTTGTTGGACAGTTGGATTCTGTTACATTATTTACTATTAATTGGTTAGAAGTATTATTTACTGATGTACCAGTGATAGTCGATGACCGAAATTCGTGTTGAATTTCGTGGAAAGAGCTTTCTTCCTCGCTGTTTAAATGTACGAACGATGGTGGCTTAATTGATTGTAGCTCTTCGAAACTATCTTCCAGATGTGGCAAACTTTTTCTTGAAAAACTATATTTACTAATCTCGTCTAGACTATTCCTAAAATTTGAATCAGATATTTGTGTATGATCTATTGTTTCTTTTACAGAATCATTATGTTCTTGTTCAATATCATTTAAATCATTTACATAGTTAGCGCCAGTACTAGAAAATGAATGTACATCACTTAAAGATACTTGAGAAGACTGAATTTCCATAAAAGAATTGCGAACTCGTTTTGAATATGATTCTTTGTCATCAGACATTCTTTTTTTACTGCTGGCATTTCCTGAGTTTGTACTTAATGAATTATTCAGTGGAGATTGAATAATGGAAATGTTAGACAATTCATCGTGTCTAATATTTTCTTTCACAATTTCTCTGGGAATTGTAAAATTTTCTTTTGTTACATCTTCCCTTAATTTTGTTAGATTATTATTTGTCAAATGTTGGAACTCATCATTTTTAGAAATTATTAAATTCTCTGTTTTATTTATTTTCTCATCTTGTGTAAGATGTAATGTTGATGGTACTGCAGTAGTCATTTCCATTGATATATCTTGAATGGTTTCACTTGCAACTATATCAGTTTGGCATGATACTCTCGCGGAATTTTCAGCTGGTATTGAGATTGTTTTTGACAATGTTTGAGAAAATGATACGGACTGTGTAGTGTGAGCAGTATCAGTAGTACTAAATGTTATCTCGTGCAAAGAAATTGGGACGGCTTCGGTAAATTCCATAGATTTACATAACAATTTGGTTCCTTCATTAAAGCAGATTGTATCATTCCTATCTTTTTCTTCATGTGTATTCTCTTTAAATATTGACTTACAAATTGGTTGAGTAATTTCTTTTCTTGATATCGCAGTAGTCATTTCTATGGGCATATCAGCGAAGAGTATAGTTTTATCATTTTCTGATATTAATTCATCAATTTTTAAATTCGCTTTGTCAATGTTTAAAGGTGCTACACTTACTGACTTTGTTGTTTCCATTGATGCATCATCGAAAAATTTAGTTTTATCATTTTTGTCAATTTCACATGTACTTTTGTTTGAGTGAGCAATGTGTGCAGCATGAAACATTTTCTCTTGACACGAGGAAATTGGGAGAGCTTCAGTAAACTCCATAGACTTGCATAATGATAGTGTTTTTTCATTAAAACAGTCCGATCTATTTATATCCCTTTTAATATCTGTATTTTCTTCAGATGATTTACAAATAATTCTATCAGTAATTTCTTGTTCGTTTCTTGTCGACACTATCTTGGTCATTTCCATGGATAAATTATGGAACACAGTTCTATCATCTATAGATATTGGTTCATTCGCACTAATATTTGCCTTCTTGCAAACATTTGAAAACAATATGGTACCTAGAGGTTTTGTCATTTCCATCAGTATATCATTAAAAATCTCAGTTTTATCAGTTTGATTCTTTGTCAGAGCTTTTTCTTTAATTGTAATTTCATTATTGACCTTCTTTTCGTTCATTTTAGATGGTGTCATAATCATTTCCATCGAAGTATCAAAAATTGTATTATTTGTATGATCAGTATCTGTGACATCTGTAACAAAAACATAAATAATTCAAAAACAAATATTACTATATTATAATCGTGTATCAATGGAATGTAAATGGTTATATTACAGATGTTAATACCATTGAGTCATTGGCATATCTCAGGTATATATTCAGAAATGTCTCTAGAAACTATGTTAGATTGTAAATTTGTTGGAAATAGTGTTATGAATATTTGTAGCATTCCATCATATGTTCACAGTTTTGTAATATTGTCGAAAATTTATAAATTAGAAGCAACAGATTCCACAAATATTGGTACAGTCTCCGTAATGTTTATTGATACATTATTACAATTAGTTAATATATTCCATTGATATATGATTATAATTATAATAGTATTTGTTTTTGAATTATTTATGTTATTATTTTTGTTACCTTCTTGTTTCTTTCGTTCTTCAACGTGTAAATATGAAGATACTAAAGATGTAGATATTGGTGCTGTTAGTTCCATAGAAAAATCTTGAATACGTGTTTTGTCTAATTCAGAATCAACATTATTAGAACAGAATTCGGAAGGATATTTCCTGGCAACATTATCTTCACAATCTTCTTCATCAGAATCTCTATATATCATAATATTGCTTGATTTTATACTTTTAGATGTATCTGTTATTGTAACTTGTCCAAATTGAGATTCTTCATCAGACAACCGCATATATTCTGTATCCAAATTACTTGATACCCAATCATTATTAGATATACAAGATTTATTTAGTACTGTAGTAAAACTTAAATTACAGTTTGTATCGTTATTTTCTTCATTGGCTGTTGCGGTAGATCCTTGCGGTAGTTGATTATCAATTAAATAGGTACCTATTAAAATTCATAATATGTACAATATAATATGGCTCAAATAATTAAAATAAAAGAAAATATGTTAAGAAAAGCTACGAACCAAAATAATAAATTTAATGTACATAATATGATACAAATAACATTAAAAATATTAGTTTAAGGTAGGCATATTCTTATTTTTATTTATTTTTAATGTTATTTGTATCTTATGTAAATTAAATTTGTTATTTTGGCTTGTAGCCCTTCTTAACATATTTTCTTGTATTTTAAATAGGTATTGTTTGGACAACACAAACTATTTTTCAGAATGAATATGTATACAATCATTATAATAGAGGCATATGTAATATATTTTCCATCATTTCACCTTCAGCATTCTGATCAATTACGAAAGATCCTTTTGAAGTAGAATCTTGTTCTTCATATGTATTATCCCACACAGTACCTTGTTCAGTAGAATGACAAAATTCTCTGCACAGAATAAAATAAGGGCTTGAGCAACAAATTGTAACCAAGTATTACAAAACTAAATATTTACTTGACATGTTTTTTCTCCGCAAAACTAACACGTCTCTTGTTTTTTGATGAAGTTGGACTGTTTTCATTGGACGAAGAATCCAAATTTACATTTTGTAATGGTTGCCGTGGTTTACATGGTTTAAGAATCTACCAACATGATTCTTATTAAGAATTCTTATTAATTTTTAATAAAAATAATATACATTGTTAAAATAGACAGCTCTTTAATTTAAAGAATTAGCTAGAAAAGTTATGTCATATAAATAGATATGTAGTTACCGATGACCGTCTAGATTCACTTCTTCTAGGTTTCGATGGAATCCTGTAACACGAATAAAAATATTCCTTTTTTTTTTCCAAAGTTCTTTGTATCACAGAATCTTAATTTTACGTATAAAACAAAAAGAATATTTTTAATACATACATTTTATTCACGATATATTACACACTTGTGAACACTATACAGCTGAGAGCTGCGAGCAGCTGAGAGAAAAGAAAATCCGTTAAATTTGATTTTTCCCTGAAAACCGCCATATTTGTTTCGTAAACGCATTTAAATTAAGCCAAATAAATTCAAATTTCTATATTACAAAAATTATGAATCGAAAATAAAAATTATTAGATTTTCCACAACGTTCATTAAAATGTCCTACACTTTTTCAATCATCATTCGATTCGTACTAAACTTTAAAGCCTATTTTACAATTGCGTAAGCGTAGTTGTAACTGTTGGTAAGCAGTGGTACTTGTAAAAATTCATCAACACACATCACAGTCGGATATTCTCCTCGTATTGAAGTGTAATTGGTCAATTCTTACAACTGTACACTACGTTTATGTAATTATAAATCGCCTTAAGATCGGGCTTAAAATCTCGCAGAAAGTGCTTGCGCTTGGTGCTTTTCGGAACGCAGCAAGTCTTGAAAACTCGGCACAACTCTTGCATAAGGCGTGCACGAGTGGGAGTTTGTAATCTTGGACCAATGAACGATCGCCAAATCGCAATTTCATGTCGTGAATCGCGATAATGTTTGTACATATGTATGTATATACATGATTACGTTGAGCGATATCAGATGACATTTGACGGTGGTCGTGTACGATCGGTCGACAGAATTTGTGAAAAAGCAACAAGAAGCGACAAGAGTAGATCGTGCAGGAATTTTTCTTGTTAATTGAAGGTCGGGACGTGCTTTTTCAATCGACGAAGGGAACGATCGACGTCGGCAATTCCGTCGTGAGTTGAACGACGTCGAGACGGCTAGATTTGTCATTTGCTGTTACGTACTACGTCAACAGCTGACCTCGGGCTGCCTCGAGCTGGCTGTGACTAGTTGGTGACACGCCGAGAGGATGACAGACGCCGCCGTTAATCTTATAATAAAGGCACCGAATCAACAGATCAAGGATCAAATAGTTAAATGCGATCTCGGTTGGACTATTGGTCGTTTGAAGGAGTACCTGTCCGAAGTCTATCCCAGCAAACCAGTAAGTTGCGTGAAAGTAATTATTTCCGCCCGGTGAAAGCAGGGTGTGTGTTTCTCTTTACATTTTGTCTTCTTTTTTTTTCTCTTTGCTCCATTAAAGGTGAGTGAAAAGATAATCGTCTCTTTAAACAATGATATTTGAAATGTTTAAATGCTTCCTAATTAGATACAAGAATCTTAATTATTAATTTTTTACAGATAATCGTACGTAGATAGTGGTACGTAGAGTGGTGTTGGTTGTTTGAAAAAAACCTAGAAATCCTCCACCTTCAAACAATGCCACTCTAAGTCTCACTACAAATATCACAAATATGAAAAACTAAGAATTTCTAAGATCTTTTCTCATCTATATAAGTTTTTTTGTACTTTTTTGTACTTTTTTGTATAAATTTTTTTCTGCCAGAGTTGTTTACAAAATTATCAGTAATCTGCAATAGTGACTCTAAGAATTATGTTTTAAAGGAAAGATTAGTATCATTAGATGAATGTATTTGTGAGCTTTTTTGATGATTTAAAAAGATATGATATCTTTATGTTAAATTGTTCATTTTTATTAATATAATTTATTTGTATGCCTGTGTTTTATAAATATGATACATGTATTAATACTATGAACAATATATATTTTATGAAAATATATTTTAATTCCTAAAAAGTTTTTAAATTTTTATTTATTTTATTATTTATAAATTTTAATATTGATGCTACAATTATTTATTATTGTATCCTGTGTGGTATTACAAAATTTTTAAGATATACAAATGATCTAAGTCATTATTATTGTTGTTTGTAGGAAAGTTCACATCAGAAATTGATCTATTCTGGCCAGTTATTAAATGACTCTGCACAATTAAAGGATATCTTGAGACAATGCGATGGTTCAGAGGATCAAGCGTATACCGTTCATCTAGTCTGTACCCCACAAAAGATGTGCACTGCTAAGGCTACATCGGATCAAAATCAATCAACTGAAAGAAATGTAGATGCTGCATCTGCAACAAGAAATATTCATATCAGAAATAACGCTATTCAAAATCAAAGTCAAGAGAATGCTAATGTTACTGCAGCTCAGCATCAACAATACTTATCTCAGCAGTATCTTGATCCTCGAAATAGTCAACAATTAGCTTGGTTACAACAGGCGTATACACATTATTTTACGCAGTACATGCAATTGTAAGCTATCCTTTACACTTGTACACAACTGTTTATTATTAAAGATGCAAGAAATGCATAAATGTTGCAATGTGGTTCTTTTCAGAATGGCAGCGCAAGGCATACAGCTGCAAGCCAGTATTCCATATCTGCAGCAAATGAATATCAACACAAGTGATACAGCTCAACATACATACACGAGTAATAATAACAACAATGTTGGCGATGAGCAACCCCAACCAGTTGCTCAAGATGCAGCCGACGTCAATCCAGGAAATAATGGTGCAGGCGAGGACGCTGCATTTAACCGCGACTGGTTGGACTTCTTCTACATGTTGTCTAGGATCGTCGTTTTATTTGGTATAGTGTATTTCTATTCATCCCCACTCAGGTTCCTCATCGTCACGTTTCTGGGATTTGCGATATATCTGTGAGTCCCAATTCTTTAATATTCTTTAATAAAAAACTAATTGAAAACAAATTTACCAAATTTTAATATTTCTTCAAATAGTCCTAGCGGAATATTTACTAAACATAATCACATATTTATTAAGTACAAGTATCATTAGTTTGATTAAGCTATCATTTTTTTATTTATCTAAATATTTATTTACCGTAAGTAAATATCTGCTAGCACTTTTCAAAGAAATATTTTATTAAAAGTTAATTTTTTTTTCTCAATGCAGATCCACAATTCAATATACCTTTTTTACAAGGCGTTCCGTAAGTTTTTGCCAAGTGCTTTTGTGTAAATAGAGCGGACTAAACTGAATCGAAAAATCTATTATTTTGCAATTTTTGTAATGATTAACGAGATATTAATTACTAAAAATTGCTGAATATTGATTTTCAAAACAAATTTAAAAAATTGTTATATTTGCTTTATATACATTTTCATTTAATTAGCGCTCTTTATGTACAATTATTTTTTTGAACATCATTTAAAAAGTAAGAGACAAAAATTGTTTATTTTCTTCTCATAAAGTTCTAAGAATTTTTTCAGAATTTTTTATATATCTATTTTCTCATGTTGGTAAAAATAAGAAAATGCAATACTAAAAAAGTTAATAAAAAATTTTGAAAAAATTCTTAAAGTTCTATGAGAAAAAAATAATTATTTTTGTCTTTTGCAGTTTTTCTAAAGTTAATAGTATACGAGTAAAAAATTATTAAAGATATTCGACAATTTTTAGTAATTAATATTTTGTTAACTATTGCGAAAATTGCACAAAATGGTAGAGGACTTTTCGACTTGTTGAGTCCGCTCTATCTATACAAAAGCGCTTGGAACAAATTTACGAGACATCTTGTATACATGTTTCTTCGATACATGTTTGCTTTGATACATTGTTTCTTGTATACATGTTTACTTTTTTTTTAACTTGTCTGAAAATTATTAGATGTAACACAAGGTATTCGTTATAGATATCAAGGTGGGTTCTTTAGGGTACAGCCAATCCTATTGGCCGAAAATAACAATGGACGCGCAGACAACAACAATCAAGTATTACAGAACGAGGTAGTAGGGCCTCAGGCTGTGCCGCAACAGCAAAACGCTCAAGTGCCAACCGTGCAACCAGAAGCACGAACAAATGCCAATGAAGAGAATGAAGAACAACGCCCAGGCGCTCTTGCCTTTACTTGGACCTTCTTTAGTTCGTTTTTTGCCTCGCTTATTCCAGATCAGCCAAATGTCATTTAATCCCGCCCGGATATAAAATCGACATTCTTTTCTTCTATACTTATAACATAAAGACTGGAGAAGATGACTTTGTCATGATATATATCAGGTTTTTAAAATATTTAACAGTTTGTAGAGTCAGAAGTGCTTAAACTCGTGATTAATTCAATACATATATTCCTACGAAAGTCTGATCAGTTTTACGGTATCCAAGGATTTTTGTATCTAAATCTAATATATATATATATATATATA